AAATCTGGTTGCATTAATTAAAGATTTTGGATTCCAGTTTCTTGACAGTAAGCCTACATAAAAGAAAATATTGAAGTGGAATGAATAATAGTTCCCAAAACCTTATAGTAAAGTCTTGAAACATGGATTAATGGCCACAATGAACTTGACATTTCAGATATCCGTATAGAGTGTGTGTGTGTGGCCCTTGTTATTTTGTTATAACAATTCTGAATTAATGAGCACATTGGCTGAGCCATTTCCGGGATCCATATTGTTTTTAGCAAGTGCCACATATATTATATAATTTTATTTTATGGCATTATTATTATTATTATTATTATTATAATCTTAAAATATATATGCAACTATAGTAAGAGAAAAGAATCCTAACTGTTGAATGAAGAAGCCAGCAGTAAAATTACTTTATTTTGCTGAGAAAGTACAATGGTAAACAACAATACAGTTATGCAAATAAGTTCTGGGAAGAACATATTATTATTCTTTTCTTCAAATGCTGAAGTCATTATACGATATCCACAAAATTAATCACATATAACTTTAAAACTCTGTAAAATAAACATATTTTATACAAAATCTATAGGTCACTTTATGATCTGTCTCCACAACAAATTTTGCATACCTAGCAGCAATTGTTAACTATTTACTACTATCAGAAAGTGAGCTAATATAGACATCTTATAGCTACTGTGTTGGTTCACATTCTACGAAATATTACTTCAGCAAATAGGCATGCTTCTGCATACAATTTCAGAAATCCATTGAAGCAGCATTAGTTTCTTCCTCACGTCAGAGTATTTTATGGCTACCATGTTGGACTTGCTGCTGGTAGGAAATTAAAGTTATATAAAAGGGTTTGCTTTGAATGGAATAATATCCATACCAACTCCCCATAAATTAGTCACTTGATTTAAAAGTTATTAAGGGGCACAGAAACATACGCATATATTTTTATGAAAGGAGCAGACAAAAACAGCTAATTGCCTAATGCATAGACAGATAAATAAATTTTAAAAAATATATAAGAAATTCACACATGTGTGGCATCTACATGTATTAGACCCTAGGTGGTCTCCAGGCCTTATAGTTCAACTAGCCTATATGAAATTACAATAATCCTATTTCTTGCCACATGGATTAAAATAATTTGCAGAAAATTGGTTATATGTCATTTGCAACAGACTACAGCCAATTTCCCAGCAACCAGGGAGGCAAGCAAACTAACACAAACAACCAGCAGTCACCATATCGAGGTTAGAGCCCCTACAAACAACCACCTCAAGCACCACTACAAGTTACTCAGAGGAATGTAGCCTATGCACAGCCCAACTATAACAGTCAGCAGGATGTGTATGTGCAGAATACCAATCCACAAGAATATAATGAAAACTACAATACAGCGGTGAGTGGAAAATAATGTCTGATTTCAGGTTCTCATGCTGGATGTCAGTGTTAATCATTTGGGTTATAACACCATGTTGATTTGTAGGCAGATACAAATATTTTGGAAGTTTATTATATTTCCCACATATGTGTAACTTCACAAACACATCTTCATCCACACTACAGATAAACGAACCAGATTATTGTTTGTGCAGATTTGCCACACATCAAAATTTTCTTCACGCAGTGTAAATCCGACATTTATACAGTTTGTTAAAAATAATAATATCCAAGAAAGTGATGTGGGTTAAAACTATGCTATACAGAACCTTTTATAAAACGTTTTGATATGTCATTGTTGGTCTTCTGATTTGTGACATGTGGACCTGAAGGTAGATACCAACTTTTAATAGAAACATACTGTCTCCATCTTCAGGGCTTAAATCTTCACCACCATGAGAACTGCATAAATGATTTTATATAAGAATAAAATATTATGTTGTCTGCCTTCAGAAAAGAAGAAGTTGTACACCTTATACAAGTTCATACACCCATTCTATTTTACTGCTGGACAACATGTTTCAAACTCATTTCTCATCTTCTGATACTTTACTCATTCTTTATATTTTGAAGCATGATAAATGCATAAATGTTGCTTCATTTAAAGTTAGAATTCTAGACATTAATGTCACATAGAACCTAACAATTAAAAATGTAATGACTTTTCAACCTACCAGGTGCTCTTTAACCAAATATTGATGTGTAGCAATAATAGTGAACAGTTGAAAATTGCCTGAAGATAGCATTGTAGCATTAAATGATGCCATATATAATGGTTATTGAGCGTTTTAATATTATGTTTCTTTTAGACTGAAATTATAATACTTTTACTATAGCTTATGGTTTATTTTTATTTTTCTGCATACTAAAGACTGATGAAGGACAATACAACCAGCAGTCTGGAGCCCATCAACCTAACAAGTCACCATCCCGGTGAGTGTTTTAAGCTCTGTATTATCTGCATGTCCAAGGAGAATCCATATATAATGTTCATTTTTGTTTTCATATTGTAACATCATGAATATTTATGATTACAAATATTCAGATAAAATTACCACTGCTGTTAAAACTTTTAACACTAAATAATATGTAGAGACCAAAATTAGGTTGAGATTAAGTCTAGTTTATTAGAATACATAATATCAATTTAAAAATTCCATCTACACAAATATACACAAAGTGATAATAATATAAAGAATTTCAGAAGCACCCTACATAAAAAATTATCTAATATTAATAGTACAGTTTTGACATGACATGAAACTCATAGAGTTTATTTATGATGTGCTCACATAAATATAGTAACAAAGTTACATCAGTGGTAGTAAAAGCAAAATGTGTAATATCATTCTGTCAGTTGTGCAAAGAACGTTTCACACAGCTTGTGGAAAGCAATTCCTTAGTACATTTATCAGTGGTATGGACCATAGATGAACAAAAGTATGAAAGTTTACTGAGAGAAGTTGCTTATGTTAAGTCAAAGGCAGAGGTCATCCAAGTTCAGGAAAAACTGTTGTGGAATATGTGAGGCAAACATTTATTTTCATTAAAAGGAAATCAATGAGACAGCCAGACATGCCAGTTCAAAGCTGAAAGTGTTGCAAAGAATAGTCTATATTATTTATAATGGGTGATTAAAGATGGATCCTCTAAGACAACAGTTATTCCAGGTGTTTGCAATGGATGACAAAACACAACATTATCAATTATGTTGCCACATGCTGCAGCAGATGGTGAATAATTAACGGATAGAGAATTCAATTGTAGATCATTCAGGAATGAGGCTACATTCACCTCTGTGGCTGTGTGAATTTGCAGAGTGTGATCATAGATATAAAGAATTGCAAATCCATGTACCTCTCTAAAAACCGTCTCAAGTATATCTAAGGATTTTTGTGCATTATCAGAGAAAGAGGTCAAAGAAGTGTGATAGAAACTGTTTACTTGGAAACGTTCCAATAACGGCAATTTCTACAGTTCTGAATAGAATTCTAACAACATGGTTGAGCTTTGCACCATTACCTGAATTATATGTGTCACTGTATGAACAACAATTAGGAAGTGGGATGGGACATGGGAATCTGGTTGCATAACCACAATAATTGTGAAATTTTTAAATCAGTGAACATTTGTTTGTGCTTTTTCATGACAGATCATGTATGTCATTCAATCCTCATTTCCAGCTACAGTATGAAAATTAGAACAAAAATTCATAGATACTGTATAGAAAATAGAAGGTGATACCCTAATTAAATTGTTAAAGGAACTTTTTACTGATTGGATGTGTGTCAAAACACAAACCATTTTGAAACAGTTGGAACTACTGTAATGAATTAAAAAGATTAATTATACATCTTCCATCATGTAACAAGTCATTTGTATGCTAAATTTTTTAATATCTGTAATGTTTGGTTGCTTATGAGAAAATATGACACTGGGATACTGTAATGAGAAATTTGGAAGTTACGGTATTGTGTCCTCTTACTCAGTCATTACTTTACAAGCTCATAATCATGGTAGATGCTATGATTTATTTTGCATCCCTCTCCTCCATCATCACATGTCTGGTTGGATTTATAAAGCAATAGTGCTCATCTATTGAATTGCAGGTGTTTGAGAATAGAGTGTTGAGGAGAATATTTGGACCTAGGATGGGGTCTGGAGAAAACTACATAATGAACTTAAAAATTTGTACACATCTCCCAGTATTGTCAGGGTGATTAAGTCAAGAAGAATGAGAAGGGTAGGTCATATAGCATGCATGGATGGGATAAGAGGTGTGCACCAGGTATTGGTTGAGAAGCCTGAGGGGAAGAGACCGCTGGGGAGACCTAGACGTAGATGGGAGGATAATCTAAGGCGGGATCTATGGGAGATAGGAGTTGAGGGAGAATGGATTTTGTTGGCCCAGGAAAGGGACTGGTGGAGGGCTTTGGTTAATTCGTTGATGAACATTCGGGTTCAGTAAGACATCTAGTTGTTTAGTTAGTTAGTTAGTTCATCTATTGAAGGAGTATGTCACATTGGATTAAAAAAATGATATCAGACAACAAAATGAGATCCTTCATTGCAGCAAACCAAGGAGTCTCCAGTAGACAGCAGAGTCCTCCATGGCCGTGAAAATGTTAAATTTGTGTAACTTTAAGGGTTCTGTATACTGTAAGAATTGGATGACATTATTTTAAAGCTTCCTTTTTAAGTATTTGTTTTTGTTTGTTTACTTATTTATGTTTTTACATAGTATATAGCATGAAAATGGCTGACTTCTAAGTTGTAGTGCCATGTAGTCTGGTAGTAGTTTATTAGCATTTCAGAAGTATTTTCTGCCTCCATCATCAGGGCGATGGGTCATGGAACCAGTCACCCTGGAGGCAGCAAGGACCTCTGAAACGTCTGTAAACTTCTACCAGACTACACGGTGCTACAACCCAGAAGGCAGCCATCTTTATATTCACTACCATGAGAATTTCGAATCCTCTTTAGTATATGTCATATTTTCAATCTAATAAAATATAATATTATGCAATATATTAGTTTAAAAAAATTAGTAGGAAATACATCTGCAAATATCATATTGGTAGCTAGTTAATATATCTCACTTAAATTGGTCTTACTTCATGCTTAAAACTAACATTCCATAAAGTACAAGATGCATTCCAGCAATAGAACTCCAGAAGGATACATCATGTTTTGTTTCATAAGAACTACAAAGGACATCCACAGATGAAATTATGTGCATTCAATTATAAGGAGTCTGTTGGTCATCTGCTTATCAGATATATGCCACCTAGTCTCACAGAATTTTCTGTAATGTGTGCTGCATCATTCTCCTGCAAATATGTGTAATTTACTTTATTCCATTTATCTAAAGAGATATTTTAAGATACTGCATTATTCTGAACTGTATTCAGAAAACCACGTAAGTAATAAAAGAATTTGAAATTTAAGGTTTTCATGGTGGTGAATACAAGTGTTTTTCTAAAATGATGTCACAACCCAGAAGACAACCGTCATAACCAAAGAATTTGTTACATCATGCATTTCTGTGCAGTGAGTCTACTGAGTGGGTCATGAAAGAATCATCTATGTTTTTCTTTTATTAAAGACATAAAATCAAAGGTTGCTACTGGTCTTCCGTGAGATCAGGTAAGAAAGCTGGAAAGTCTGATTTGGGACACGTTATGAAAGTAAAAATTAATTTCTGCTGTAAAAATAAATGGGAACATTTGGAAAACCGGAAGCTTTTGATTGAAATTCTGTATATCTAAATCAAGTGTACTCTCTTTTATCTTCCCTCAGTGATTCTCATTCCTACAAGAGCCCTTAAAGATGAATATTACATTGTTTATTAACATTAATGTGATCAAATTGGATTATCATCTGGGAACGATTTTCTCATATACAGCAATAACAGGAAAGTGTTGAATTTTTCTCCACAATAACCAATTACAACTTCAACAATCATTCCTCCTACCACCACCACCATAATAGCACGAAGTACCACAGCACAATCAGGTACTGATATCACCACCACCACCTCCAACATCATCACTACTACCACAGTAGCTCCTGAAAGGTATTGCTCAGAAATATGAGCAAGTAAAAATTTATTTAAAGTTCAGCAAATTAAGGATATTCCAAACATTAAACAAATAGTTATATCCTTTGTGAGAACAGTGGTGTTAAGTTCCATAAGAATCAGCAGAAGCTTCTGTTATCTTACTATTTATGGACTTCTTCTCATTTAATATTTTTACTTATCATAGAATGAAATGACAGATTTGGCAACATTTTTGTTTAAATTTAAAACAGTCCCTCTGCTGAGAAAGGTTGCTTTAGTATTGTTCTGTCTCCATAAATTACAAATATGATACATGAGATTGTAGCTGCTTTATATCTACAGTGCTTTCAACCATCAGCACTGTAAAAACATGGTTGCTATTAATTCTTATACCTTCAGGAAGGCAACAAGGCAACCTGCATTCATTATAGTTTAGTACATCCATGCAGAAGTCCAATGCATGTATGGCCAGCTCAAGCCAGTTGAAGAGTTCTCTTCATGAAGATGCCAATGAATAACAAATAGGTATAATGTAAGGTTTAAGGATTATGAGAAAAGTAAGGTTAGGTTCTTTGTTTTCTTGCTTGCTTGCTTAATTTTCTCTCAATCTGCTCTAATCAAATCTTGTAAAGGCATGTACTATGAAATATATAATATATAAGTGTTACAATGAAGTCTCCTCAGACAATCAGCTGTGTGAGCATTGAGTTCATATACAGTGTTTCAGAGACTGTCTCTGGCTTCATCAGTAGTGACAAGGCCTATAGGTCAACTGTGGACATGATTGCATGCTGTATTGGTATTTATAGATTATAGCTAGTGAGAATTATATATACATACATAGGGGATTTATGATTTTTTTAGATTTCACTTTTAGTTGTAAAAATGTTATATAAATGTACTTTTAAAATAGCTATTAATGCTCCATCACTCAATAAAAGACATCACACCCAAATAAAGTCTGACGGCCATTATTAGATGAACAAAGCAATGTACGTGGCTTAAAATGTAATTTGTTCCATGAATAAGTTACCATTCTTGGCTAATAACACATCAAAAATGATTACAGCAAATACTGTATATAACTACAAACAGTTTAGTAACAGGCATAGTTCACTTTAGAACTAAATTCTAGATTCACATGGTGGAAAGCGCCATGATTCTCATCACTGCAGTTTATATCCTGCTGCTGTCTATTCCATATTTAATACTGCATTAAATATTTGGAAATAGTATTATTCTTTCCTTCTGTTTCTCTGTTTTGTGGCCTATACTAAAATCCAGTTCTTGTCCTTAGGTTTTGTCAGCTGCAGTTCAGTGTATAACTATGGCTTCCAGGAATGAGCTGTGTCAAATATTGTAAGTTTTAAAATGTTTTGGAAAATAATGCAGTTGTAATCTTTAGGGTAGTGTGTATTCAGGGTTTTCAGTAGCCTTATACAGAGCAGGCATTAGGTGGCAAGTGGGATGTGAAAGAGAGAACAGAAATCAGGACCTATGTTCCCTGCATGACCAGAGAAGAAATTGATATAACCAACTTAACTATGGAGGTGTGGTCAGGACCTATCTTCCCTGCATGACCAGAGAAGAAATTTATATAACCAACTTAACTATGGAGGTGTGAGTGTGTATTCAGGGTTTTCAGTAGTCTTATACAGAGCAGGCATTAGGTGGCAAGTGGGATGTGAAAGAGAGAACAGAAGTCAGGACCTATCTTCCCTGCATGACCAGAGAAGAAATTTATATAACCAACTTAACTATGGAGGTGTGTACAGATTAAGCACAGTCTGGCTTTACCATTTCCCCCCAAAACATCTACATAACCACCTCTCTCACTAAACAACAACTGAGTCCTCCCACCTGATCTACCCATATACTCAACAAAAACTTTTTTCTTAACCTATTCTCATAACCACGTGATCACTAAAACATTTTTCTGTAACTTCTTCTCCAAACCACTTGGCAATACATGTCATCACTCCTTTCCCAATCAAATGGTCACCAACATTTCTTTCATCTCTTTATCACCTTTTTTCCTAATAATGAAGTTTCTAGAACTTTTTCTCTCATGTCTCTCAGCTACATGGTCAACAGAACTGATCAACAGAATTTCTTTCATCACCTTATCTCCATACCATGTGACACAGAACAACTTTTTTCATCACCTATTTTCTTCGGTCACATACTTGTTACCAATTTGATAGCAGCCTACTAGTCTGCTCTACCAGTCAGGTCATTCAGAGACCACTCACCAAGTGCCCGCTCTGTACACAGCTTCCTAAAACATGCAATACACATTTACCCTGAAGAAGGAAAGTGCAAATGTTTGCTAAAATATTTGTAAATCTATAAACTTAGAGATGGGGGCTCATCCTTGAAAGCTGAAATTTTAAAATAACAGCTAGGTTTAACATGTAGCCTTGCAACTATAAAGGTATTATATTGAATTTCTCACATACTGTTTGGATTAAAAAAGAAAATTATTGTATCAAAGCCTGTACTTTGTATCTAAAACAGTTTTTAGTGTTAACTAATTATAAAAAACAAACTTAAAAGTTTATTTAAGTCTTCAAGTGAAATGGGATACCTTATCAAAGGCATTCATTTATCCTTATTTTATAATGAGAATTCACAACATAAATTTTCATTAAAATCTATCTATTTATCAAGAGCAAAATTGGTCCACATTCAGGAACTGACACATGAGAAGGATCTCTATTCAATACTTTTTTATCTTCACATAAAGAATCCTCAACAATTTATTATTTAAAAGTTGAAATTTAGCTTAGAGCTTATTAAATCTATGATGAGGAAAGGTTAGCTTGACACTCATTGGTTACTGAGTGATGAGGCATTACATAGCAGTATAATTCTGGGTCATGGCTATAGAATCTATTTTCTCATGTATCCCTCTGCAGACAACAGACGAGGCTCAGGGTGAATACTACAGCCACCTTGAGCAACAACAAGCACAAAGCTGTGTTAGCTGCTATAGCCACTTCGTCACCTGAAGATCAGGCTACACCAATACGGACAACTTGCTTGATGTTCATACCAAGTTACATGAACACCAATACGGACAACCATCACCCACTTCCCAAATATTCCAGATACTAACACACCTCATCTAATCACACCACAGGATTCCAAAGCTGAATCAAAATCGAGGCAAGCAAATTATTCTGTAACTGATATAAACTCTTGGAAAAGCAATTCTCAAATGCTTAATTCTCACAGAATAACACCGACTTCAGTTTCCTCTCTCACTGAATCTTTCTATACTGCAGCACCCAAACCAACTCAATCATCCAGGTCAAGAGGTACTTTCCGTCGAATTTCTCTAGAGTCTTCTACAGAACCAGCAGTTGGGAGACAAATTTCAGAGGTAGTCACACTCAGTACTCCATTGTCAGGTACTTCTACATCAGGTAGTCTGAGTGCTGCTTCATCAAGGAGTCAGGATAGTAATGCTCGACATATTTCTACCAAATCCTTTACAGTTATAGACAACATCAATTCCATTTCAGAAACTTTCTCACAAGATGCTGAAATTAGTCCTGTTGAAAATTATTTCACACAGAACAATGATGGTCACAGACGTGGTAAAGAACGTGGTTCTGGTTCTTCCAGAACTGATACAATAACATCAACAAAATACCAAAATCAGAACAAAATAGGTGTCACAGAGGTAGCACAAAGAATAAGGCTTGTGCCAGGGTCTACAATGCCTCCATCTAGTGAGTCACATGAATCTCAAAATTCCGCAGTCTCGTTTAGTACTCCTCAGTCCAGACAACTTGAATCTTTGGCATTTCATTCCACAACTGAAACTGTCACTTCACGCTCCGTATCAAAAACTTCTGGCACTGAAACTGTTTCATCTTCTTTTACCCAAAGATCTACATTCTCAAAACGAAATGAGACTCAAAATGAACCCAGTCCACCAACACCCTCACCTTCTGCCTTGAGGTCCTCTTATCATTCTAGCCTAGTTGATTCAGATGATATGCACTATGGGCTATCACGTAATTCAGTTGTCCAACAATCAGATGTTTCAACCAACAATAGAGCAAGGTCAAGAGGCAGTGGCCAAAGGAAAACTACTTCTTGTGCCGATGCTGTAGATGCCAACTCAAATGCAGGCTGCAGCAAAAAACCACAAATTAGGTACAAATTCTGTAATACTTCTAACAGACAAAGTAACTTCATAAAGATTCAGGACAGAATTAAAGTGATTTTGGTGACTGTGAGACATTTATTTTAAATATCTTAATTTCTAATTACTATGGAAAAACTCATAATCTATAAAGTAATAATTAATATTCAAGCAATTCCCTACTTTATTGTTACCTCATACTTCAACCTGTGTCATAAAAGTGAGCCTGCCAGGTCCCTCTTTAGTAGATACACTGACTTTCACATAGCCAGATTTGTTCAATAAATTCATAAGTGATTCTTAATAGCTTTTAAATTTATTTTCTTCAGAAAAATTATTTGTGATAAACTCATCCTAATGGTTACTTGAAAGTTCCAAAATAGTTTCAATATAAGTAACAGAATCTTCAAAATGATTCAAACTTTGAGTTGCTGCTTTTATCTAAAAGTTGGCTAACTGTAAGGACTCTAAGTGTCAGAATAGCATTGTCATTGACTGAATGTTGAAGCTTGAAGCAGAATTAATTAAAACAATTAATCAGTTACATCTTATTGCCATTTTTTGTACTTAAATTGTATAGACAACAATTTTGCCACAATCCCAGTCTCATTAGGGAAGGTTCAACCAAAATTAAAAGAAATTAGTTTTCTACATAAGTGCACTGTTGTTATTCAGATACTTAAAAACACACTAAAAATTTATACCAGCACAATGTGAAATGTTTATTTATGCAACCAGGTTGAAACCAATGGTTATAAATTATGTGAAAAAGAATAAAAATAATGTTTTTTCCACACATAAATAATCTTTCTTCTCACTACAGCCAAAATTCTTCAAACATCAGTCTGAAATGTAGAATTATACATTCTATTAAAAATAGTATTCAACTTTCTAAAAAGTTTGTAAATGATGTGAACCAATGTAGTACTCTTTTAGTTTACATGTGTGAGTTATTCTGTGCTTCTGTACTTCTTTCTCCTGGCAGATTAAGACCTACAACAGCTTCCCTTGACAATCAGTCGACCCCTGCTCCTGCCAGGTATGACATTGTTGCAAAGTCGGTATGCTTCAACAATGCTTTTTGAATGGCCCTTGGGTCAGGAAGGGTAGGGACATATTCTCACTTAATGTTGCTTGTCTTTGCTTGTTTGCCTGTTGAATGTTAAAAAAGTAAGCACAAATTTCAGTGCATGGCAGTATTTATACATTGCATTGAATACAAATAATAACTGGTAACAGTAGTCATGTTCACAAATGTTGCTATTTGCATGACCTAGTATGTAGTTCTCATGTATGTACAAAATATGTTTAGACACTACCATCTCATAACTTCAAACGCATGTCCCTTTAAAACTTCTCTCATTGTAGCAAACAGGCAACAATCATAACTATAATAATTAATTCAATCACCTCTTCTAATGTTCTTGTTCATATCAATATATCACTAAATATACATTTTGCTCTAAACTTTATCAGGAAAAAGTGTCTTACTCAAGCCAGTCGTGTTGCATTTATTCTTTTTTGTGTCCTGTAGCATCATAATCTTCTGCAGTGTGGGTAGCCGATACCACCATACCTAAGTAAATGTGATATTGTGAAGTATATTTATCAATTCAAAGATTAAAGAGAATCTAAAGTTAAATACTTCAGAAGATAAACTAGCAAATAACAGAATTAGATGATATGGGCATGTTTTAGGAATTAATGAAAATGGGAACAACAGGTTAGGGAAGATATTATATACAGGGGAGGAATACCGTGGGAAGAGCCTAAGGAAGTGTTGTGGGAAAACAATGATGAAGAGACTTGCTTGTCAGATGACACTTTTAAAGTTAAATTATCTTAGGAAGAGGAAGAACAAGGGAGCCTATTGGTTTCAGGATATGACACAACACTCTTGTTTTGAGAGCTGTATAATTCCAACCCCTGCCAAATCTTTTCTTCCCGTCTATGGTGCAACAGCCCAAAGTCGAGCCTTGGCCTCCTCCCATGTGGGAGGTTTCTTTGTCTTTGAAGTGTGCATTTATGAGTAGTGAGTGACAAGCCCACTGCCTCTGCACAATTTCTTCTCAATCCTAATTTGTCTACTAGAGCCATCTAGTAGTGAATCAAGAGAAAGTTGGGTGAGAAATGGCCATTGAATTTTGCATGTGAAACATCTCGTTTCATGCTTGAAAGTTTCTTTTACATGCTGTAAATCTATGATATGGGGTCGCCAACTTTACTTCCTCTCCAAAGGAAGTAGTGCTACGGATTTTTATCACCCCTAAAAATCCATTGACCTTGGCCAGGTTTGAACCCCATGAACCTTGGGTTCAGTGGCAAGCACACTAACCACTAGTCCACTGAGGGTGACCTGCCCAATCTATGTATACAGCTTTTATCCATACCAAAGCTGATACCAAGTTCCCAGTATGATTCAGAATATACATTCAAATGTGAACCATGATATGCCTGACAAGTTGCTTAAATTACAAATGAATAAGAAGGAATAAAATGCATAACCAGGAAATTAAGAATGCCCAGAAGCAGAACTTTTGCAAGAAAAGTTGGTCGTCATTTACAGGTATATAGTTCTGTTGAGAGCAGAAAGTAAATGTGGTGTGTTGAATAAGAACCATTGGGGAGACCATGGACAAGGTGGAAAGGTGGTGAGGGAAGTTAAGAGAGCAGGGAAATTGTGGACACAGATGCAAGAGGAGTGGTTTTGGAAAGACAGAGAAGGGTGGAGAAGGCCACTCTGGTGGTAATGTGAATGGACAATGATAACTTATTTAAACTGAAAACATGTTCTTCATATAGAAATTAACTCTTAATATAAATGGTTCAGTCAAATTCAGTTATTTAAATTTACGAAACACAAGCAGGCAGGCAAGTAATGTAACAAGGACAACATTAAAAGTTAATATATGTTTTGATATACTGTAAATTTTCAGCAGCCCAAGGGCACATTATTAACTATCTTTGTGCCTCTACTGGCAGTATACTGGCTTCAGTTCCAGAAATTTTCATACTTCTATTCTGTGGACAGTATTATAGCCCTTCATGTGTCTAAGTTCATAAGACTGACCACTTCTGTACATTATGAGCTAATACCAAATGCAACAGCACAGATTTAATTTAAAAGCAACAGAATCTTTTGCCATCACTCTGAATATTTATTATATTTCCAATCAGAAACGAAGAATATAATTTAGCATTGTTCCTTTCAAATTTTATATTCCATTGTTGATAACCCAATGTTTTCTTAATGAATACACTATTATAAATAAAGTGACAACAATCAACTGCAAAGTGGCAATTATAAGCAGAAATAATCCTTTGAAGCAGTTCCAAACATAATGGTCACATGTCTGATGATAGTCCCCTTCCTCTCAGAATACTGAAGCAATTAAGTCACACCTTCCTGGTACAGTATCATAAAGTTATAACATTAACAATAACATATATATGCATGTGCTAGTGAGTGATAAATACTGTGCAGTGCTGATATTCTTCTCAGTCTGTTTCATGATCTGCAGTTAAAATTTCTACATATACATAGATTAAACTTCAAAATAATGTGTTCACTTGTATCATTAGAGGTTGAGCGTATGTCTTATTCTTCATGTATTGTGCTAAAGAGCCTGTTACACCTCCAATTAATTTCTCCATCACTTCCTTGGTCACCCCAATCTTCCTCTGCTGCAAGTCTCATATTCAGTTACTAATGTACTCCATTCTTTCTCTTGTGGACACCATTTCTCTCTGTGTTTTCCAAACATTTTATTTAAGTGTTTAACTTTTAGTTGAGTTCCAGTATAATAATTTCATATCTTATCAGCTGAACTGAAACCTCTCACAAGTTAGAAACTTTGGGCTGCAGTATTTGCCAATCAGGAACCTTAAACACTGGCAAATGAGACAATGGCTCAGCCCTCCATTTTCAAGGGTTATGCATCAGGTTAGTGGCCTAATGATATAATAACCGAAATACTAAAATCTGTATAGGGTTGTGTACTTTTACCCTTCAGTGATGGCACCCATTTAAATAGTGTAGAAGCTGACTCTATGTGATGAAACTGAGGTTTATACATGTATGGAGGCTAGTAATAAAGCTTTACAATTTGAAATGGAGAAGCCAACTTGTCTAGTCAGTGGATGGCAGAAGTTGTGGGCTTTTATGCATGTTGATGAAAATCACACCATCCCAGACTTTAGAGGTTTTTCTATTTATCATGATAAACAAATTGTCAATTGCAGATAAAGCATACCTCAACATGTATTTTTAGTACTTATTTTGTCTGTAATAAAATTCCTCTGCATAGAAATACAAAGTCCAGGAAATCCTAAAATCTGAAAATCTTTAGTTGCCAGGCTTTCTGGACAAGAAATCCAGTACTGTAACACTGACCACGACAACAATTTTTATGCCGATATAAGGAAAATAGTATGTGTCAAGAATAATATGAGGTCTCAGTAAGCAGCACAATGATAACCTATCACCATAAGTCAGGAGTAGAGCCAACATATGAAATGCTTTGTATATCAAATATACATCAGATAATGGCTAATGACCAACATGATTGTGATGTAATGAGTCAATTATTGTTAGACCTACAATCCTTTAGAGAATCATTCTGTTTCTGCCATTAGTGTTCAAGCAATGTGATGTGATGCAGATGGAAATTTAAGGAAAATTTCTGAAAATGCTTGAAGTGTTAAAAAGTGAATAATGTAATTGATGTGAAACTTCACATCTTATATAAAGATTATTTTCAATTGAAACATAAATGGTGAAAGATACTGCAATACAGATAAGAAATGGAGAATTATCTTTGATGCTCATTAATAATGGGTTAAATCAAATGCAGTTTTATTGATCTAAGCCTCTCTTATGAGAATATAAATAAGCACACAAACAACTATTAACACTATAAAGAAGACACTATTGCCATACGCTTTTCAACCTTAAAAGGTCATCAGTGGCATCAGGGAAATCAATTCATTTAATTAAATGGCTCAAACTTGATTTAGAAAATAAATAATGAATGATACATTTGACGAAAAGTATTTTAAGCGACACTGCACCAAATGTTGTTATTCATAGGAATAGACTCTGCACTTAGCTATTTATCTGGTGGTCTGGTGGCCGTAGCTGGCCTGCGGCAAGCTGTAGTTTCGTCGTCCGTACCTGTGAACTCCAGAACATTGGGCTATCTTGAAACAGAATAAGGTGTAATGTAGAATATACAATACATTGAACTCTGAGAGTTTATGTAGGTATGCATGAGAATTACTCCCTCAAAGCATGTGATACTCCACAGTTATCAGATACTGCTACCTGCTGTCACACGAATCTGCTAAACAGGTTTCAGAATCAGCACTTCATATATAAAGCATGAAGCTTTATAGTATGAAGATGTCACTACTGAATGAATGCTTAGCATTTACAACACAATAACCTTGCAGATATATGCAGAAGTTTATACATGTTTCAATGATTATGCATAACTTTATATTTCACCATTTTCATATTACTGTTCTACTGTCATTCCCAAGTATAATGTAGGATTTGAGGTTTTCATGGTGGTGAGTCTGAAGATTTCTGTCTTCTGGATTGTTGGGCCATGTAGTCTGGTAGATGTTTACCGACGTTGAAACGTATACTGTTCTAAATTCTCTATTTATTTGATACTTGTAAAATATCATAAATTTAAATCTAGGGGATGAAAAATATAGCAAATCAAAATTTATGTCTATATGCTGCAATTCCTATGTCAAACAAATCTTTAAAATGACAAATTTTAGATATATTCTACATTATTTTTAAAATTAATTACTGTTATTCTAATACACGGAATTCTATCTGAGGATTGATTTTTTTCTCAGCTATTTAGAGTCTGATATTGAAGAGTAAGTCATAGTGTAGCCAACAGGCCTTCTGTATAAGTGGTTGAGCTTGTGATGATAAGCAGTTCTGTGTGTGATTTCATCTTGAAGCATTCTATTTTCTGTTTCCTAGGCTACTGCATCTGCTGAAATTGTTTGGGGTTTCAAACATATCTTCAAGCAATAACAGATACAAATTTCATTAAGTGTGAATAAAAGAGTAAAGTAAGCTGTCCCTGTATATGCCATATAGACGCTTAGCGGGAGAGGTGGTATAGCTCCTATTCATTCTTAACTTCAGTACTAGATGGGGTGAGTGGTCAGTGTCACGCCCCGGCCACTGTTTTTCTCCAATGGACCGCAGTACCCATTGGACAAGAGGCTGGGTGAGACCCGCAGCCAGTCTGGATGCAAAGGCTAAAAAAAATCCTTTGTCTCAGTCTGGGATCGAACCCCAGTCGTCGAGTCCGTAGCCAGTCACTATATTGACTGAGCTACCTCAACATTTATGTAAACATAATATGAAATTTATTTCACTTAAGTTATTATTATTATTTAGTGTTCTGTCTGACGACAGGTCCATTGTTCTGCCCAAAAAGAGTTTGCCAGTTTTCCTTAAGTATCTATAATTAATTAATTTTTTAGACAGTTTCTGAATATCTGTAATACGATAAATATCTGGTTAAATTTGTAATTTTTGATAAGGATTTCTCTGTCACTAGAATCTGATAATGAGTTCTGGCAACTGGCATTATTTAATCCTTGCTTCATGTATATGCATACACAATGCCTATGTAAATAAATCTGGAATACAGAAGTATTAAGTAGTTTCCTGTTGAAATAATGATAAACTAGGTTCCTGAAATTTTCTGTCATCAGATCTCAATGTACAAAAATTGTGATAAAACTGCTGCTTCACTAATGTAATTAATATTGAATTAAAAATTAAATCAAGAATCATTCAAACAAGAAGTTAATCTTTGAAAGGCAGTATTATGCTTATACTAATTTGTCTTCCAAGAATCATTTTATGCAATTGATCTTTTCAGTAACTCTTTCTCACAGAGTAATTATTAGAAAATTGCAGAAACATTCATCCTGAGTTTCTTAGCACTCCTTAAACTTCTAGTGCAAAGTCATTACTTACTTCAATTTTTATAATTTAATTACTGTGACATCAGTGAACATCAACAGTGAAGAATGTGTTGGCATTTGAAATATGCAAATATACAAATATGTAATCTTCTGCACAATTTTGCATGTTTAATATTTGCCAAGCTTGGTGGTAGGAATATAGGTATTATAAGCACATATAATTTTTGTATAAAATTATGCTGCATGGTAATATTTGTAAATGCTTTTTATTTTTACTGCATTATAATAGAGCATTCATGGAAACCACATCATGCCCCTTATCTTCATTATTGTGATTTATTTTTAGAAATTTAGATATTTTTACAACAGGATTAATAAAAAAGGTGAAATTAGAATAAACAGATTTCTGTTGTTACTTCAAAGACATGTTATTTGCATGCAAATTGATTCTAGCAAATCAGTATTCTTTTCTATGATAAATTCCTCCATACATTTTCATTTATTAACATATTTTTTGTGTACTTGTGTAGTTATTATATTTTCAATTATAAACTCAGACCAAAAATAAAATAAATTTGTTTCATGTAAATCATTAACAAAATCTGATGCAGTAACATGGATTGATATTTGGAATGAAAGTGGTGTAAGTTGAAGTAATGTTAATGGTAATAAGAAAACAGTAAAGGGTATAGTAGAAAATTCTGTGCAAGTTACAAGTAAATATAACCTTACATACTATCAACTTATTAAAATGAAAGATTCTCTAAATAAAATTTTTGTGAATATACGAGAAAAGAGAGCTTATCCATGAACATATTGAAGCAGAAGAAAGATATTAGACATTTTTTTGTGTTCAATAAACAATGTTCACTGTTGTTCTGTAATACATGGATTTTGATTTATTTATTGTCGCAATAAATGTCCTTTTATTGCATTCTTGCACATAAAAGATCATATTACCAAATCATGTAATATAATTGACAACCCTGAAAAGTTGAAAGAGGATGTAAATTCTCTTTGGAAAATTAGGTAAAAAATCACAGCTTTTCACATAAATTTATACTAAACAAGACATATTTTTAACCTCTTAAACAATAAATGAAAGGTGAAAAATGTCCGATATGTGATGTCTTTGGATATTTCAGATCTAAAATTTATGGATATAACAGTTTGTATTTGTGGGATGAAACTACATTTTTTATCAATAAGAACTGTGGAAAATTAAATATTGCATTGCAAATAAATTTTGATGCAATAAAAAAGTTCAGAAGAGCGAACATGTACGGTGTCAGAATATATATAATTAAGATCCTGGATATTTATTACCTCTTATCTTATTATTTTGTGTATTACTGGATTATCTGCAGAGGCAACAATGCTGGAAGGCCTCGTGGAGATGGTTCATATACTACAGGTAGTGGGGCTGAACCAACTGTCAACCGTGGTACACCAGCCACTGTCAGGTGAAATGATTATTTAAATAATTTATTATGTTACAGCTACAAGCTGTATAAGTGAAATAATCTGAATACAAACCTTACAAACTTATGAATGGAATAAATAACTTAAAAAACCCAAAAATGTTTCTGAAATCAGTAGAATATAAACGTGATTAAGACAAATATATACTGATAGCTTGAATGCAGGAATCATGAATTAGAATTACATTTAAAGTGTGAATGTTTGTGCACATTTATCTGTTGGGTTGTCCTATGTAGGTAGGAAGAGACCTTGTGTCAGAGTGATCACCCATTCAAGGATTCTCACAGATAGTCTAAATGGATTCATATTTTCAGGAGTACTTTTTGAAATGGAGCAGGCCAAAATGCCTAATATATATCAGCTGAAGAGGAATAAAAATAAATAAACATTACAATATAAGAAAGATTTAAAAATATCTTGTACTATATAACAATTAGATGGAATTGCTTCATAATTGATACAGACCTTAAATCTAAAAAAAAATATATGTAATCATAATTTCCACATTCTAGTTAATCAGTGTTGATTATTTAGGATCTGCATTGAATTCTAACATGTATATTATTTTATCTAAAACTAACGCTATAACCTGTGTTAATATGCAATGCCGGATGAAAAAGTTTTATTTGATTATGTTGCATATAATTTTATAAAATTAATCATTACTTTAATTAAATAAAAATTATTGTATAATAACATACAATGGAATTAATAAATTCATTTTATTTCAGTCGTTCCCGCCCCACTCTAAAACCGTCTACTGCTATTGTGTCCAAAGCTCAGGAATTTGTGGATATATACCAATATCCAGCAAGAAGGTAGGTGAAGTCTGAATGATTAAACCAGGAGTGGCTAGTCTTCAAACATTTATGTTACTAGCAGTACTCGACAGTCTCTGACTGTTTTGAAGAAACATATTTGCATAAATTACAATATTCTCATTTTTGATATTATTTTGTTTATATATTTTGACTGTGTGAAAATACTGTATTGTGTATTAATGCTACTATTATTGGAAGTTTTATTATAACAAATAACTGGATTCTATTAGAGATAAATCATATTATTTACCTCATACCAGTTAAAATGGTAGTAGCGTGGAAGAGATATGGGATAATTTCAAGAATATAATATTCCAGAGTATCCAACGTTTTGTGCCACATAAAATACTGAGAAAAAATTCGGACCCTGAATACTACAATAAGGAGGTGAAACGGTTAAAGTCAAGGGTGAGAAAAGCATATAACAGCAGAAAATTAGGACAACAGCACCAAGAGGAACTGAAACGTCTATCAAAGCAGTTGCTATTAGCTAAACAAAATGCGCAGGAAACATTTTTACGGACAATATTAAGAAATGAAGGTAAATGCTGGACCGATTTCTACAAGTATGTAAAACGACGTAAAGGAAACAGGGAAAATATTCCGGCGATCAAGGATGGTAATGGACGGCTCATTACTGACTCGATAGAAAAGGCCAACTCCCTTAATTTCTATTATTCTTCGGTATTTAGCTGCGAGCGTAGCATCCCGCAGATACAATGCGCTAACTCAGGCGAACCCTTCGCCATTAGTACTAAAATCATTAGAAAAAGGCTAGCAGGGATGGGAAAAAGCAAATCAGTAGGGCCTGACAGAGTTTCTGGGGAAATTTTAAAATTGGGTGGGGAAGCCATGATTCCATACCTGGCGCGATTATTGGACGTAACAATTAATAATGCCACTATACCAAGGGACTGGAAAAAAGCCATAGTGGTTCCTATTTACAAAGGAGGTGATCGATCATTGGTCACAAATTACAGACCGGTCAGTTTAACATCGGTGGTCTGCAAACAAATGGAACACGTTATAGCATCGTACCTGAGGAAAAACTGGGAGGAAAAGAATTGGTTATTCGAGGGTCAACATAGGTTCAGGCCGGGATATTCATGTGAAAGTCAAGTAATCACGGTTTGTCAGGACATTGCAGACACACTGGATAACGGAGGAAGGTTAGACGCGATTATAATAGATTTTTCGAAGGCCTTCGATTTAGTTCCTCACGATCGGCTGCTTATGAAAATCGCGGCATCGGGCGTGGACTCGAGGATAGTCGTATGGATAAGAGAATTTCTTTTAGGCCGAACGCAGAGAGTTAGAGTAGGAGGGCAATTATCAGAGGAAGTCAGAGTAACATCAGGAGTACCGCAAGGGAGTGTATTGGGTCCACTTCTATTCCTCGCGTACGTAAATGATATTTGGAGGAACATTGAATCGACTATTAGACTTTTTGCAGATGACTGTATAATATATAGGAAAATTATAAATAGTAAAGATATAGAAAAGATGCAGATGGATCTAAACAGTCTGGGGGAGTGGGCGGTTGAAAATGATATGAAAATTAACCCAAGTAAAAGTAAGGCAGTTAGTTTCACGAGAAGTCGGGTGAAGGAACCACTAAACTATTCGTTACGGGACCAAATAATTCCGGAAGTGAGCAGTTGTAAATACTTGGGAATTATCTTAAGCAGCGATTTAAGCTGGGCTGATCAAGTAAATTATACGGTGAAAAAAGCCTGGAAGGCACTTCATTTTACAATGCGTGTTCTCAAAAAGGGGAATAGTAACACTAAAAGTCTAGCCTACACATCACTAGTGCGTCCGATTCTGGAATATGGGGCGGCGTGCTGGGATCCTTACAGGGAGGGGCAGATAAATGCGTTAGAACGGGTGCAAAGGAAAGCATGTAAATTTGCATATCACAGGAGCGATTCGAACTGGGAAACCCTGGCACAGCGTAGAAAGATAGCACGAATATGTGCTCTCTTCAAGGCGTACACGGGAGATCGGGCATGGAAAGCTATAGGTGTCAGATTGCAAAGGCCATACTACCTGAGCAGAGTCGATCATATTCGGAAAGTTAGGAGCAGAAAACAAAGAACAGATATCGGAAAATATTCCTTTGTAAATAGGACCATCCAACTCTGGAACCAGCTACCTGCTGAGGTTTTAGGGACTCTCTCCTGTAAACCAAGTACGTTTAGGAAGAAGGTTAGGAAAGTGATAAATGAGGTGAAGTAAAGGGAATAGATGGGTGGGTGCAGTGAAGGGGGGTAAATTGGGGTGAGGATGGGAAGGTTTCATAAGTGTAGTGAAGTGAAGAGAAGGTCCTGATGAAACGTGTGATTCATTACTGTTACTGACTTATGTCTAGTTGGTATTAATTTTTAAGTTATGTACTTTAGGTTATACGGTTTTGTAATATTATGAGCTGTTTTATTTTGAGTGTGGTGTGTTGTTTTGTTGTGTCTTATTGTTCTTGTTGTGCCTTATGCTTTTTGTGTCTCATTGTTTTTGTTGTGTCATGTCTTTTTGTCTTACTGTATTGTTGTGTCTCATTGCTTTGTTGTGTCTTATTGTTCTTGTTGTGCCTTATGTTTTTTGTGTCTCATTGTTTTGTTGTCTTATTGTTTTGTTGTGTCTTATGTCTTTTTGTCTTACTGTTTTGTTGTGTCTCATTGTTCTGTTGTTTCTTATTGTTATTGTTTGTGTTGTCTTATGATTTTTGTGTCTTATTGTTTTGTTCTGTCTCATTGTTCTGTTGTTTCTTATTGTTTTTGTTGTCTTATGATTTTTGTGTCTTATTGTTTTGTTCTGTCTCATTGTTCTGTTGTTTCTTATTGTTTTTGTTGTCTTATGATTTTTGTGTCTTATTGTTTTGTTCTGTCTCATTGTTCTGTTGTTTCTTATTGTTTTTGTTGTCTTATGATTTTTGTGTCTTATTGTTTTGTTCTGTCTCATTGTTCTGTTGTTATTGTTTTTGTTGTCTTATGTTTTGTTGTGTCTTATTGTAGGACCACTGCCACCGGGTAAAAACCCATTTGCAGTCAAATAAATAAAAAATAATATCCAAGAAAATTTTTATTCAAATGAAGAATTACATTATTTTGTTATGTATTAACTTCCATTATCTTCATCTCTATTAGGTCCAAATACTTTCCTGTGCCCTGTGTCACTAATACACAACGCATTTAACATTTTAAATTCATAAACTCATGCAACATAAAGCAAAACTTCCAGCACGACCTCCGTGTGAAGTAATCATGTTTAAATTAAAAAATGAATGTGTAGCATGCTTCCCAGGTGAAACAACTCGGCAGAGACATAAATGGTGAGATTCGAGGGCGCCTGCAGTCCCAACACTTTCTAAGCACCAGACATAACACAAGACTGGCAATTAAATTACCGTAATTGGGGTTAAACGGTTACCAAGATGAGCTGAGCATTACTAATTTAAACAGAGGTAGCCTTATTGTTATCATGACGCTTCAAGAGAGCGCAGTCCTTCGCTGAGAAACAAATATAATCATAACATGTAAATTAAATTTTAGGCTGAATAATAAATTACTCTAACATATCGTATTTCGTGATTTATAGCACTAAAATACATGTAGACATAAAATTTAATCACGGGTATGAAAACGTTTGTGTTGTCGACATAAAGTTAAATCACAGATATAACAAATGTTTGTGAAGTGAGACACGAATTTGAAACACATTCACTGAAAGAAAATCTGAGTCCCCATTGGAACATCTGCCTAATAATAATTTTTCCCAGCAAATGCTTATCACAAGTCTATTGAGAAGAACAGATATTTTTTCGATGTTATTTGACTTTTCATAATATTCAGAGTATATTACCATTATTTGTCAGTGGTTTCTATTGTATGTATTTTGTTTTTAAAACATTGTTTTCAAAGTCATCTTAGGTTTAACACTTCAGAAAATAACATGAACTTTGCATAAAAACAGTGGAATGTGCAGCAAACTCCACTTTTGTGGTATGGTAGAGTTGCAGCTGTCTTTAGGGGGCAGGATACATGAAGGAGTGAATTCCATCTCTAGTGTTTACGCTATAAAAATCCATGCAGTGTATGAACAGAAAACTGTGAGGAAATCAACAGCTAGGTCCACCATGTCATACCATATATCATTCAAAATTCTTCAAATGTAAGCAAACCCAGTGTATGGTATGAACTACCATGCTGATGGCTTGCTTTGTATTATTAACTTTTAAAACAGAAAACAGATTTATATGGCTTAATGATTAGTTTGTATAGATAGAAATGCTTGGGTCTTACATGAAAAAAAAAACAGTAGCTGGTGAGGAAAAACTGTTTTGAAGAGAAGAGCCATGGGAATATGTGTATTGAAACTGGGATCATTTTGTGTATTTGTGAAAAGGGAAAGTTTATTGCACTGTTTAAAATTCCAGATTTAATTGGGAATGTCAATAACAAATTAATAAAATTTACTGATTATGAATCAAACTGTAATTGAGTTGGAAATCTGTCAGAAATGGAGGAATGGTTTAGAAATGCCTATAATGAATTTGTTTTGGCAGGCCTGATCCTGTCTACCCAACACCACAGGTGGACAAGACAGCTGCCAAGTGTCGTAAAGATGTGTGTCTTCTCCCTGACTGTTACTGTGGAGGCAAAGATATACCAGGTACAGTGCTGACGTCTTTTAAGTTTGAAATAAGAACAGTACTTTGGCAACAATAATGCCTTTACTGAAAAACTCTTTTTTGGACTCCGAACATACAAGGCAAATGGAGCCCTGGCAAATAAACTTTCCTATATGGAAACTTTGATGGGTGAAACTCTCCTTCCAGTGCAGTTCAGATATATTGCTTTTCACACTTTATTTACAAAGAGTGACTGACTCTTTGATTTAATATTGAAGGATACATTCTTTGAAATGCTCTGTTACACTTTGAAAACAGCACATCAAGTGAAATTTATGATAAACTAAATGTAATGTAAGGATGACATAACTCTGAACACAAAACTTAATATTTGCTGCTCTTTAACTTTCAAGCAATTCAGAATCCACTACCAGACGTCATAATTATGAATATTAATGTTCTAAATTACAGTATACCCTAATCCAGCATGTGGGATATGGGATTAATGGGCATACGGGAACATGGCCATAGAAATTCAAAGCAAAGTCATAAATATATTGCAATGATATTTATTTCTGAAAAAAACTTTAATATATTTGAAGTATCATCAGAAAGTTAAGCATTTAAATAAAATATCAACAGAAAGTTAAATTTTAGAATAAAATAAAAAAATGTAAGGCTAACGGCTGCTGCACTCATACTATCACACAACTTATCTAGAATCTGTTTTCTTATTTAGTGTCATAACCTTATCAATTTTCTTTGCTTCATTACCACTTCTACATTTATGCTGTGATTCCATAATGCTGTTCAAGAGCAATACCATAAACTTTGAAGCATAGGATAAGAATGCAACACAGGTTAACATGATGACAGCAAAAGCAAGACTGAGACTACAGGTTACATGTAATTTGTCAGATGAAGAGGGGATGAAAGACACAGAAGGTTTAAATCATGGGATGACAATTGAGCTGAATGTTTACACTCTTACATATGCTAAATAAAATGGACCAAGCTTGTTTTTAAATACTTACACAGAACCTAAACCATCTTTAGCATTTTAAATAGCAGAGGTATTTTTTATATGCTACTGTATCATGTTCAGCAACCTGTGTATGATTGAAATTTCTGCATTCTGCAAATAATTGTTCACATTTAATTTATTTTCATGAATCTGCATTGCAGGAGGGTTTACCATATTCCTGTAAAATTATCCATTCTCATTCCATGTGATGTGATGTGAAGTGATGAGAAATGCATACAAAATTGTAGTTGGAAAACCTGATTGGTAAAGACAACTTTAAAGACATAAGCATAGATGAACTTAAAAACTGATGTATGAAGGTGTAAACAGGAATGAAATGGCTCAGAAAAGGGTCCATTGGTGGTCTTTTGAAAACATGGCAATGAAACTTTGGGTTCCATAAAGGGCAGGAATTTCTTGACTAGGTGAGCAACTGTCTAATTCTTAAGATGGATTTTGTTCTGTGGACTTCATTAATTTATTTGTTAAAATCTAAGATAGTGGTTCAGGGATATACAGCCTTATTTATTTATGCCTTTCATGATTTTTATTATACTAATCAAGTGCATTACCATGTTATTCTTGTTTAGCAACTATAAAACATTCCAGTTTTCCAGGTGACCTTCACATGTGACACAAAGTTTTATTTAGCTCTCCCAATACACAGCAGTACATCAGATTTACTGCAATTTACCAATAAATATGCATGCATAATATGTGCATCATGATTCAGGCGACCTGCCAGCTGAAGAAGTTCCTCAGATAGTGCTGCTTACTTTTGATGATGCTATCAATGATCTCAACAAAGGGCTGTATCAAGATATATTTGAGAAGGGTCGCACTAATCCAAATGGATGTCCCATTACGGCCACATTCTATGTGTCACATGAATGGACTGACTACAGCCAGGCACAGAACCTCTATGCAGATGGTCATGAGATGGCATCACACTCCGTCTCGTAAGTCTGTGTACTTGCCCAACTGCTGCCACCAAGAATTGTTTTCTTTTCTACATTTTAGAAATATACAAGGTCTGAGAATTAAATAACTGGACTGTTTGTGTGGGATATATATCACCAACATTAATGAGAATGAAAATTTTTTATCATCTTACTTTATACATTTCTTAATTTCTTCAGTGTCATGAAACATCCCTTGAAATCATTTAAAGATGTCCTCTCATTGTTGTTATTATACGGCCCTGAATGTCTAAAAGAGAATTTAAAAGCAGACCCTTTCAAGGGCATTTTTAGTCTTAGTCAGAGAACTGTCACAAGTATGGTGGATGTTCCTGAACTGTATATGTTCCTTGCTTCAGAAATCACTTACCAAAATTTATGTGAGGGAATGTGAAATGTGATGTTGCAAACTCCACATATGTGGTCAAAGATTTGGTCAATTCATGGCAAACGTGCTGCCATATACAATCTGATACTTGAACATTAAATGATTCTCTAACTATTCAATATGGAGAAGTAGAAAAAAAGCAGATCATTGCTTTGATCTTAAAATTCACACTTTATTAGGACTAACAGATTCTGGACTTTTCCATTGGAGACTTTTGCTCTTTGTTCCAAATTTATATAGGGGACCCAAGTCTCCTTACCCATTACTACATTTTTCCAAGAATTCAGGTTTTTGCAAGAATCTTTGTGAATGGAATGAGCAAATTTCTTTTCTTCTTACTATTGGACAAACAAATTACTGCACCAATAAGACATTACAACCAAAAAACAAATTCAATTCTAGTGTTTATGTGACACAAAACTGCTGAATCATGTACTCATGTGATTTGACATGCACCAGCTCAACAGTGTTATTAGCTGTTACACAAACATGTCAGTCCAATCATTTAATTGTCATTCCTTTAAATGGGTGATTTTTATATTCAGTATTTATCTAATTTAAACACAAAGTATAGCTCTCTCTCGCACAGCATATTGGGTTATGTATATTTATAGGTTAATCACAGATTTATTGAAGTGTAAATAATGCAGTTAACGTGGTGCCTGACAGAGAACTAGCCTAGTTTGCTTGATGCAGGAGGCAGTCTATGGCATCACTGCCGACCACTGTCCTGCAAGAGGAATCTTGCACCTATCTTTGTCCTCATTCCTAGAGAAGTTAGAAATGGGCATTAGTTGGAAATAAACATAAAAAGGCATTTGACACCCTAAAATAAAAGCTTGTTAAGTCTATAAAAAAGGCCCAATTTACAGAGAAGAAAAGTGGCATAAAATGCTTTCTTTATTAATGTCTATTTTTTTAAAAAATTAGCATATATTAAAAATATGAAGTTAATTTCAGGTAAGTGAAATTCCATCCTAATTGGCCATTAAACTAAAAATTTATGAACATGACTTTAACAAATTATAAACATTTTATGAACAAATTTTTAATATAGTGCATTTAAATGCACAATAAAATTTTGCTGCAATGAAAACATGCCTTGTTAACACCATAAAAAAAGAGAACGTTGGAATATTTCGGTCATATCATGAGAAATAGTGATAGATACGGGCTGCTTCAGCTGATAATCCAGGGAAAAGTATTCAGAAGGAGGGGACTTGGCAGGCCAAGAATCTCCTGGTTTCAGAACCTAAAAACTTGGTTCTCGATGTCCACTGGAGGGCTGTTTCAAGTAGCAGCCAGTAAAGCTCAAATTGCTATGCTGATCGCCATCATCCAGAATGAATAGGCACTTGAAGAAGAAGAAGAAGAAAACATGCCAATCTGTATATTTTAGTCAGTTTTGCTTACAATCCAACCACATGTATTGTCTCGGGTCACTGTATCTCTCTTCATAACTTTCAGTGACCACATTCATTTTGTAAAATGAGAAGTTAGAGTTTAGGTCACCAGTAAGTCTTCCATAAGATTCTGACAAATCGAACATATGGTGAAATACTTAGTAGAGACATCAAGTATGTATCAGATTTTCTTAATTGTTTATGTTGCATACAGATAATTTGTAGCCCTGCCTATATCATTTATTTACACAGCTTAACAACATTGGAATATCAGTTAATTTAACTGCCCTGCCCAGCGAGAGACAGAGCTATACTGACTGTAAACAGGTGCTGGAACTTCAATGGATGCTGCCAGGAAGATTGCACACCTTCATTGCTTTTTGCTGACTAAACAGTGCTTCATGATCATGCTAGTAACATGCTTTACATCTTTTCTCTTTTCCTGAAACCATTCCATCAAACACATCATAATCCTATGCCATTTTTCATAATGTTATTGTGTATATTACCAATCACTAATTTTCACAACTTAAATCTGTGATTTATCATAATGATGACTATAATGCTTTGTATCCAAATTATTTAAACTTCAATATGCTGTCACACTATCAAACTTTCTGTGTGTCTATGTCACGTTCACTATACGCAATGTTAAAATGGTTGCATATTTCATATTCAAACATACTTCAAGTAATTTTTCATACTTTCTTAATTTCTCATGCATTCTCATTACAAATGTTTTCTGCACTATTGACTATGTCTTGCTCCTGCCAAAATTATAATTTAAATATATTTATTGATTGGTCTGAACAACAAAAATTTCACCATTAACACTGTTACTAAACCATCAACACTTCACAATCTGTGATTGTTTTTTTTTGACATGTGCCAATATTCAACTGCAACTTGGATTAATCCATCATCCAATAAAAATAAATTATCGAAATCATAATGTCACATAAAAATTATTTTCCTTCATACCTGAGAAAATTATTGCATTAATACATTACCTATTTAAATTCAACAATTACAATAATATTACATCAATAACCTCCACACTCCCATTTTCACATATCTGCTCACTCCTTCTTCCTGGCCAATGACAGGTGGTTTTGCAGCAGAGGAGATTCCACAGCTTGTTCTGCTAACATTTGATGACTCAGCAAATGATCTCAACAAGGGGCTGTATACAGACCTGTTTGAAAATGGCCGCACAAACCCTAATGGCTGTCCTATAGCAGCTACTTTCTACGTATCTCATGAGTGGACAGATTATAGTCATGTCCAGAACCTGTATGCATCTGGTCATGAAATTGCATCACATTCCATCTCGTAAGTTTCAGTTGCATTACAAAGTTGTGATTAGAGGAAAAGATTACACAAAAGTCAGTGTTAACACTATTAGAGACATACCACTTTGAACATATGCATATCACCTTTGCACAATCAATGTTGAATTTGAAATTTCACACATACAGGCAGATAGATATTTTTCAAATACATGATCTAATTTCATTTGAAAAAATTGTTCTTCTCACTTTTAGAGTCAAAGTAAAGAAAACCAAGGTGATCATTAAAATTCTGGTCACTCATTAGACTGGTTTATAGTTATACATATCTTGCATTTTTAATGTTATATTTAAATAATGTAAGTTTATAAAGTAGAATGGATCACACATTAATGCTCTGGTTTCGTGTGCAATTGGCCATGCACTTTAATTCCACTCAGGTCACATTTTGTTATAATTTCTTGCAAGTGTAAATATGTTACCAAATGTTATTACTATCACTAGGCTATATTTTTACTACTGTTAGGGTCCAGTACCATTTTAATATTTTCGGGCAAAACTTGTTACTTTTTTACAGATATACATAATGTCAAAGATTTACATCATCACTATGTTTGTATTTGTTGACTTTCATAGTGAATTTTTTGTCATATTTATTAGCTGTCTCTGTATCAGATTTCATATGTTTAGTTCCATTGATTCATTAATTATTCCATTAAAAACTAAATCTTGTCTGTCTATGCTAGATTCATCTCTGAAAATTGTGAATGAATTTTTATTGAATTCAGTATTGGAAGTGTAAGGAGCCAGGGTAGCTCAGTTAGTATAGTGACTGGCTTACAGACTGGATGACCGGTGTTCAATCCCTGATTGGGGAAGAGGATTTTATCTCTAGTCTCTGCGTCAAGACTGGTTCTGAGGCCCACCCAGCCTCCTTTCCAATGGGTACTGTGGTCTTTTCCCAGGGGTAAAGCATGGCCAGGGTGTGATGCTAAACACTCACCCACATCTAGTGCCGAGGTTAAGAATGAGTAGGAGCTATACCACCTCTCCCCCCAAGTGCCTATATGGCATAGAGTAGGACAGCTTTTTATTGGAAATGTATATTAAATTTTATTATATAACTTTAATTTTGATTCATATTGGTCCAATATAATCCTTAATTTTCTCAAAAACTGACTCATGATCTTTTCAAGAGATCTACAGCCTTTGTTTCAGTTTTTTATATGGCAAATGCTTAACAAAATAAAGGAAATATAATTTGTGCCTGTTCAATGTGGTATCTGCAGTAGGATTAACTTCGCACCATTAGATTTTTATCTGCAGTTAATGAACATCAAAGTCAATGAGGCATGCAGAGTAACTAAGAGAGCATGTGGTCTTACTCCACTACAGTACACATTTTGATTTTTTCTACTGCCATCAGTTACAGGGATTGCTTCACAGGGTAACTGAAGAGATTATGGTTCATGACGCCACAGTTAATTCACAACACAGTAATATAATATTCTAGACACTTTTATGCACACAAACTGACAAAACTGAAATGGTAATTTTAAATTCTGTGAATATCTTTGCTCTCACACAAAAACTGCCAACCTTCTGTTTTTTCAAAGCAGTTAGTTAAACTGAGAACTTATACGTCTATTAAACATTCTTTTGTTAAACATTTTATCTTTTTATTTCATTAATCTGTATTTGTCACTTATCTTACAAATTTCTAGAAAACTTATACAAAAATTACTCTTTTATAATATGACTAAACATTTAAAATATCAAACACAAAGAATTAATAGTTTCAGCTACATTGCAAGTGATTCACATGTCATCCACCATTTCATGAATCATGCCACTACATAACCGATTTCTTTGCACAATAATGAACTCTTTGCTTGCACTTCTGTCATTGCTTTGCTTAAAACTTATGTATTACATTCTGCACAGCATGACATTGTATCTATATAATTTTGCTATTTTCAGTCCAGACTGTTCCATATCTGAGATTCTAACATCAAGGACAAGCTCAAAAGCATTATGGCATGATTATGTTGAACAACAATTTCATATTAGAGAACCCCTTTATATGGCTTTTCCCTACCTTGAAGTCTACAGGTTTGCTGGAACCACTAGCCAGCCTCCTGTTGTTGCATGTCACAGCTACTAATTCCCACTCCGACCTACAGGTTTGCTATAACTGCTAGCTCCTTGTGATGGTATACAAGAGCTACTGGCTACCAGAGAATCTCTATAAATAGCAACCAGGTTTATCACAATAAGTGAGCCCTGCCCCCAGTTGTCTACTCAGCTTCCCCAGGTTGGCTTATACTGTCAGCTCCCCTAGGTGGTATACCAGATCTGCT